GATGTCGGAAAGATAAATGAGGATTATCTGGGGACTTCCTAATGTTATAAAATGTATATAATTTAGAAAATAACAAATGCAAATTATTTCCCAAATTACAAGAAAGACAAAGTCAGCAATTGCTAAATTAAGAATCAACACAGTGAAAGGTTTTCTCTTAATTCGAAATCCAAGAAGCCAAATAACAATTCCGTTTAACGGGATTCCAATAGAGCAGATGATAAATATGATAGCTTTTATGATAATATAAATATACATATTTTTGTGCTCATCTAAATAATTGACAAATAATCTAAAATAAAACTCTCTGAATATTCTGCTCTAGTATTTCAGGCTGAAATCCATCAAGAGATTTTTGTAGTGCAGCAAGAATCTTTGCTTTTCAAATGGAAGTTCCTATTGGAAGAAAAGAGAGAGGAGGGGATTAAATCATTCCTCCATAATTATCATATTGTCATCTCTATCAATAATAATAATAATAATAACAACAACAACAACAACAACAACAACAACAACAACAACAACAACAACAACAACAGATGAAGAGGGCCTCTTCTACAAACAGCAAAATGAGGCATAACTTACAGAAACCTTTACTGGGACAAGTTGTCACTTGGATCAAGAAGAACCACGCTAGATGTTGGAGTATCTTTTGCCAAGTAGGTTACAGGACTCAAAACTGATGGCTAAGCAACTGCAGGACTAATGGAATACATGGTTTTACTGGTCTTAAATAAATTTAAAAAGGCAGAAAACAAAGCAATCATATAATGAAGTCATTATTGAGTGTAGTCCCAAATCATTTGTTTTTATTTTATTTTATTTATTTATTTCATGAAGCATGTTTGGATAACAGATATAAGTATGAACATGATTTTGAATACATGAAACAAATTAAACTAGAGTGCTAGCTGACTCTTATTCACTGCACAATTCAGAAGAATGAAAAATTTAAAAGATCACAATAAAATCAATCAAAAAATATCTCCCCTTAGTGGCATAGTTGCTTCCATTATCCACAAAATGTGATTTTTTTTTTAAAATCATGTGGAAGAAGCTTAATCCAAAACAGGATGCCAGTTTCAGAATGACTAGCATCATTCCGTGAACATTCCGTCAACAGTGAATGAAAATATTTCACCGAATTCCTCTCCTGTAGATGGAGTGCAGCTGATTCACCTGTTTTACAAGTGAGTCCCAAGGCCAATGAGGTGGAGAAGTGAAGGTACAGTATGAAGAGCGAAGAGATACACGTTCCACCTTCAGCCGTGAAAGCTTATTGATCAGAAAGATCAATATCAGCAAGGTAGTCCCCCAAAAAAGCACAAGGCATGAATAGTAATTGTAGCATTATTGTGAGTTTTCAGTAACAGAATCTTGCAAGTCTGAAAGCTCTTTGCCCTTGCTTTATTTTTACTTTCTGGAAAACTAGGGAGGGTCCTTCTAAGATACTACTACCCACTCCCCTTTTCCATTCAAAACACCAACAATGCAATAACCATAACAAAAGAAAATTACAAATATAGAGAATATTTTAAAAAGCTACCAGCTACAATTAATAAACAATGCAGCTTTTTGTGCAGCTTTTGATAAAAATAAGATTGTCAACATGATCACCAAGATCCAAGGAGGGATATGGGGGAGGAAGAAGGAGGAGGGGGGAGGGGGAGGAGGAGGAGGAGAAGGAGAAGGAGAAGAAGAAGAAGAAGAAGAAGAAGAAGAAGAAGAAGAAGAAGAAGAAGAAGAAGAAGAAGAAGATGATGATGATGATTATTAATAGCACAAGAATAGAACTCCTAAAATACACATATTAAGTTTTATTGGAGTCAGACATGAGATAGCTGGTGTCACATCATGCTGGAAAAAAATTACTGCTGAACTGAGTTCCATTATTGGTCAGAGAATCCTTCAGGATTAGGTGATTCCCATCCTGATGGTCCCCAAGTCCTATCCTGACCTCAAAAAAGGAGAACTTTGAAAATAAGTTACAAAAAATGAAGCATTACCTGATGATGCTAAGAATGTGCAAACAGAACCGGCAGGTCTCTTTCAGTATTTAAGGATGAGCTCTTTTTCAATGACTCCGGTTGGCCTCCACTTGATGCTGTTCNTATTTATGTTAAGAAAGCATTTTTCCCAATGCTTGTTCTTGTTATGGTAATATGCTGCCTGGAGTATAAGAGAGATGATAAGAGATAGTCATAAGAAAATATATCTATGACTTGAAACTAGGAGTTAGGAGATAATATGAGGAGAAAATTCCTTTCTAAGGGAGAAATGAGCAGCTTACACATTTTTTAGAGCTAGAGATACTTTTAAAGAAGGGAAAATACACAAACAAACCCCATTTTAGTCTACTTAAGTAACAGAATAAAAATAATAGCGGTGGAAGAACCAGTCACAATGTTTGGAGGCTCTTCCAGTGTTTAATTGTTCTCATCAGTAAATTTCTTCTTAGTTCTAGGTTGGTTCTCTCCTTCACGAGTTAAGCATAGAAGATTTCCTGTACATTTGGGTGAAAACCTTCGATGATTAACTAGAACTTTACACACACATAAACCCAGAAAAAAGGGGGGGAATGAATTTCATAAAAAACTAAAGAGCCAAAACTGATGAAAAACTATTATGGATAAGTTCAGGAAACATCTTACTCCCTTGAACTTGGGTTCCAAACAATTTAGACTTGTATTGTTTTGCGTGATGGTTAAAAGTAGGTTGGAAAATCCGAGGAAACCTCAACTGAGATTAATGTGACTGTCAACATATAAATATGAGAGAAAAAAAACATTTTGCCATGCAATATTAGTTATAAAAATGTACAGCTATTAAAGGAACGGCGATTACACTATTTACATAACATTAGGCTCTAATTAAACCTTCCAAAATTATAACATACCTGAAAGTGACGGTCCAAACTCTTCAAAGTTGGTGACTAGAAGGTTATTATTTCATACTTGGGGTCTGCAGGATGGCAGGACTTGAAGGGAAAATGCCTTTAAATCCTATACAGATGAAGTTCATTGACAGAAGGGAAGTCCATTCACCCTGTCTTGAGTTATAAGGTTCAAAAAATTGTCTGCAGATTTGGCTATACCTGGAAGTAGAACCTGAGCAGAAATCTTCAGAGGTGCTTTTATAAAAAGGAACAGGGTTCAACATAGGTGAGGATCGATCTCCTGAAGAAAACATGCTTTTGCTTCTGGCATGAGAAAGGAAGATCCATATATATTCTGTGTCCTGTCTAATCAGAATCTACCACCATGTGATACAAGATTTGATCCTTTTCTGTCCAAGATAATCGTCAACAGTCAGTGTAAAAGAGAGAAAGTTGACTTCAGCCTGCTAGGGCAAGGGAACCAAAAGCCAAGGCAGACAAAGTTAAATTTTGGAGAAATGTAGCATCTCCTTATAAAGAAAGCTTTTTGTGAATAGGAGAAATTGTTCTCCAGGTAATATTTCTTTTAAGACTCTTTGATTTAAGTAGACTGTTTGCTGATGGATGTGAGAAAACCAAATAATAAAACTTCCCCGACAGTTGGATTTCTCAGCTGATAAATGGCACTTTGACCACTGAGGATGAGAGCCAGCTGATAACAATGATTCAACTGTACAGTCTGTTCTTTTGTTTTGATTCTATCTTCTGTTTAATGTTCATTTCACCTCTTTGGTCATTAGAACTATGAGGACCGGGATAATGAAGCTTAAGATCCCTGCCTGGGGTTGCCTTTGTGATCATCCCCCATAGGTGCTTTTTGAAAAGGCAAATGGACTTTCTTGGGGAGGGGAGGGGTTGAATATATTTTGCTCTGAGCAATCAAGTCCAGAAAGCACCAAGAACCTTTAAGAGAAGACTCTCCTTGCAGATTTGTAGAATTGCAAAGGATTTTTTGTTCACACCTGTGCTTCCCTGCTTAACTAGCCATCTTTCCATCCTTTCTGTCAGGCCTGCAGCCATCTTTTCTTTTGGGCATTTGGCCTGCCACACTTTCTATTATTCTACTATGCATTTTCTATTGTGGGAAAATGGGAGGGGGTTAGGAGGTAAGATGTTACATACTATGTAGCCATAACAACATTCTTTCCAGAAAGCCAAGATCATCCTTTGTCTCTGCACCTTTGCACCTGACTAGAACTGGATGGATGGAATTACCAGCATGGCAGTGGAAGATTGGACCATGGGATGGACTTGTGGGTGTGGGGGAAAGATCTTGAACTTTCAACTGGATGGGGAAAACCAGGAAGCTTTCAGATTTGGGTTTTCCCAGAAGTGCCAACATGGCTCTCCTAATAAATTGGAACTTTGAGCAATACTTTGCTTTGGACTTTGATTTACTTTCAGATGCTATTTGGAACCCTGGCACTTTTTTAGTGACCTGATTTAAGATTTTCCTGTGTTCTATTTTTCACTCCTGCTGCTGCCAAGGCATGAAATATGCTTATAAATTGTATCTCTTGCTGTTTTCCATTTTAGTAAGAGGTTAAAGCCTTAACGTGGAATTTGAACCGGTTTCTAACCGGTTCTGTTTTAATTTTACTCATGGTTGATTCATTTCATATATTAGCTGTCTTTAGGTGACATCAGGAAGCAGCAGGTATGGTTGGAGCTTTCCTTCTATTTCTAACAATCTTATTTCTAGAAAAAATAATAAGCTGAATATTTTATAAATGTCATGCAATTCATTTCCTGCAAAGCGATAGTTGTGGACTAATGTAGACGTTGCTTGAAATGCAATCCTTTCTATGTGTATTCAGATGAACAAGCCAATATGTTTAAAGAAATTTGGTTCCACCTATCAGAATACAACCTCCAGTAGCAATATGGTTGATTGGTACTCAAAAGGAAGCACAGAGGTCTTGTAAGTGGGTTTCAGCTCTTCTATCTCTCTCCAGTAACTTCACCTTCTTTGAAGACCTTTTGCAAAATGACCTTCATGCTCTCCTTGGACTGAGCTCCTTTTTTTCTCCCAACTAGAAAATAGATCACTGGATTAATACTGCTATTTAGGCAGGAAAACAGTATGCTACACCAAATCCAATGTTCCAGTTGATTCACAGCTTCATTACTAGAAAAAGTACAAATCACCGCAAAAACACTTAATGGAAAGGCCAGGATGAGGAAACAGAGAAGAGTAATTAAAATCATCAGTAAAAGCCGACCCTGATTCTTTTGTTTCAATTTAAGACACACTTTGATGAAAAGGACCACAGTAGAGATTGTGATCAATGGAAGGCAAACTATAGCAGTCACAAGGAAATGGAAATTGAGGGGTATGTAATTTCCAAAGACCTCCATAATACTCATAATTCCACCCAGGAGGAAAGAGGAGATCCACAGGAGGATACACACCATGGAGGACAAATGTTTTGGCCGGGAACAGCGATGCCAGATTGGGAAGAGGACACAAACACACCGGTCGATGCTGATGGCCGTCAGAAGAAAGTTTGCATTGATGTACATCACATGGGCGAAATGAGCACAGAAGTGGTAGAAAATTTCACTTCCTTCAAAATAGGTAAATGAAGGAATATTATATATAAATGCAGATGTGAGGTACCCAAAGTCTGCAATGGCCAAGTTAAGGATGAATGTGGTGAAACTGTTTCTCTTAATCTGTAAGCCAAGTAGCCAAATGATGTAGCCATTGCCCACCAATCCAATACAACAGGTAATTAAAGTAATTACTAGCCAAAGAATCAATCCTAGATGTAAAAGGTTGGTCTCTTCTTTGTACTTATATGAATCACTGGTATTGTTATACCTATAATAGTTGTCTGTAGCATCCAGATCCCCTGGGCTGGAATTCATCATTAAGCTTTTGTAATCCCCTGACAATCTTTTTAAGTGGAAGCTCCTATTAGGACAAAGTAAAGAAGAGTGGATTCAGTCATTCTTGTCTCCTAAATAATACCAATATTGTCATAGCTTCCACTATCTAAGAAAGGGGTGTCAAACTCACGGCCCGCGGGCCAGATGCAGCATACACTGGCCAGCCCCAAACCCCTGGCTTAGCGAAAGGGGAAAAATTTGTGATACACCATGTGACAACATGAATTTGACACCCCTGATCTAAGGGGTTGCCACAAAGAAGACAAAGCCAACCGGTTCTCCAAAGCACCTGAAGGCAGGACAAAAAGCAAAGGATGGAAATTTATCAGGGAGATTTATCAACCAACCTGGAAATTAAGGAGAAGTTTCCTGACAGAACAATTAATCAGTGGAAAGGCTCATCTTCAGAAGTTTCAGTGTTCCAACACTGCAGGTTTTAAAGAGATTGACAACCTGCTTGATCAGAGAGTTGGACTAGAAGAACTACAAGGCCCCTTCCAACTCTGTTATTCTATTCTTGTTCTATTCTAACCCTATGAATAGGTTGAGTTATATGGCTGCAGTAATGAACCAACTCCTTGAACTGTTTATTGCCACATGCAAGGAGGAAAAATATAATGTTTTGCTCCATCTATGCTTCTCAACAAATACCTGAAAATGTATTTGGTATTGGATTGTGTTGGATGTTTTTCCTATACTGAAATTCAACAATGTCAAAGCAAAAATTAGTAATTATGCAAAGAAGCATTTTTCCCAATACTTGTTCCTGTTATGGCGCCCAGAGTGTAAGAGCAGCTAATAATTGATAACATAATAGATAATGGAGAAAATAAACTATGATATGACACCAGGAGTTAGGAGATGATATGGGTGAAAAATTCCTGTTTAGAAAGAAATGGGCAGCTTACACATTTTGTAGAGCTACAGATACTTCCAAAAAAAGGGAAAGAACACATCCATACCACACTTTGGTCTACTTAAGTAACAGAATAACAATAATACAGTTTGGGATGGACCTTAGAGATCTTCTAGTCCAGCCGCTGCTCAAGTAGGAGACCCTATATGATTTCAGACAAGTGGCTGTCCAGTCTCTTCTTAAAAGCCTGTAATGATGGAGCACCCACAACTTCTAGAGGCAAGTTGTTCCTCTGGTTAATCGTTTTCAGTGTAAGGAAATTACTCCTTAGTTCTAGGATGCTTCTCTCCTTCATTATTTAAGTATAGAAGATTTCCTGTTTGTGTGTGTGCAAACTTTCTGTGATGAACTGGAAGTTTCCCTGATGAAAAACAATTATGGGTAAACTAAAGAAATACCTTATTCCCTTGATATTCGGTTCAAGGTCAGGTTTGTTTGCTTCTGACATACTTCTATTTTCTATCATGATGGCTAAAAGTTGGTTGGAAAAATGAATGAACCAGGAAACCTCAACTGACAGTGCTATGACAATCTACATATACGTATCAGGTATAGAAATACACAGGTACAGAAGGAATGGCTATTACTCTCATTGCATATCCCTGGGTCTAATTAAACCTTCCAAAATTATAACGTACCTGAAATTGATAGTCCGAAGTCTTCAAAGTTGGGGAGTGGAAGATTATTGTCTCACAATATTGAGGGCTGAAGGGATCAGGGATGGCAGGACCGGCAAGCAAAATGTCTTAAAGTCCTATTTAGGACTTTAATTAATTAACAGGAGGAAAGTCCATCCATCCTATCTCAAGTTGCAAAGTTCAAAGAATTGCTGGCAGAATTTGACACACCTGGAAGTAAAAGCTGAGTAGATGTCTTCAAAGGAGTTTTTATAAAAGAGTTGGGGATTCAGCGCTACACACATCCATCTGCGGAAAACATGAAGAGCATTTGCTTTTGCCATGAGAAAGTCTAAAAGATGCACACATGCTCTGTGCCTTGTCTAATCAGAATCTAGCACCATGTGACACCATGATGTGAGCCTTGGTCTGCCTAAGATAATCCCTGACAGTCAGTGTAGAAAAGAGAAAGTTGCCTTGAGCCTGCTGGGGCAAAAGAACCCAGACGGACAAGTCAGACAGAGTTAAATTTTGAAGAACTGTTCAGAAAATGTAGCGTCTCCTTATAAACAAAGCTTTTGGAGAACAGGGGAAATTGTTGTCCAAATTAGAAATAGAATAGAATAGAATAGAATAGAAAAAGGAAGGTGAAGGCGAATGGGAATAGAATAGAACAGGGGAAGGGGGATAGAACAGAACAGAATAGAATAGAATAGAATAGAATAGAATAGAATAGAATAGAATAGAAAAAGGAAGGTGAAGGCGAAGAGGAATAGAATAGAATAGAATAGAATAGGGAAGGGAAGGGGAAGGGGGATACAATAGAACAGGGGAAGGGGGATAGAGTAGAGTAGAGTAGAGTAGAATAGAGTAGAATTCTTTATTGGCCAAGTGTGATTGGACACACAAGGAATTTGTTTTTGGTGCAGATGCTCTCAGTGTACATAAAAAGACAAGATACATTCATCAAGAATCATAAGGTACAGCACTTAATGATAGTCATGGGGTACAAATAAGCAATCAGGAAACAAAATCAATATCAATATAAATCATAAGGATGCAAGCAACAAAGTTAAAATCCTGCAGTCATAAGTGGGAGGAGATGGGTGATAGGAATGATGAGAAGACTAATAGTAATAATAATGCAGCCTTAGTGAATTGTTTGACAGTGGTGAGGGAATTATTTGTACCCCATGACTATCATTAAGTGTTGTACCTTATGATTCTTGATGAATGTATCTTGTCTTTTTATGTACACTGAGAGCATCTGCACCAAAGACAAATTCCTTGTGTGTCCAATCACACTTGGCCAATAAAGAATTCTACTCTACTCTACTCTATTCTATTCTATTCTATTCTATTCTATTCTATTCTATT